ATTTCAGACCCCCAAACATACACGTACAAACGCACTTACATAAATACACTTACATAATTGGTCGCATTCGGAGGTGATCGTTATGCGGGGGTCCACTGTATACGTACATTATTTAGGAATGCATGCTGGTCAGAGAGCCCATCGTAAGTCTGAGTTGTTGGTAAACGAGTATGTTGCTAAGTGAGGCGAGGCTGTAATATCTTTAATTTTACATGTACAAGGTATACAGGCCTAGCTGACATCAATGACATACTACTATATAGAAAGCCCCTTGTTATGCTGAGCATTTCCCGCAAATTAGGCCAATTTTGTCCCAGGAAGCAACCCACACCAGTCAACTAACACTCAGGTACCTATTTTACTGATAGGTGAACATAGACAGCAGGTGTCTTATGGAAACACATTCTAATGTTTTCCAGTCGTACCAGGGATCAACCCCCCCAGACCTCAGTGTGTGAGCTGAGTGCGCAACAGAACTACAGGACACTGTAGGAGGAGTTGTTAACCCTTTGACTGTCACGGCCGTATATATATGTCTTACGAGGTGCCGTGTTTGACGTATATATACTCATAAATTCTAGCGGCTTCAAATCAAGCAGGAGAAAGCTGGTAGGCCCACATGTGAGAGAATGGGTCTGTGTGGTCAGTGTGCATCATATAAAAAAATCCTGGAGCACGGAGTGCATAATGAGAAAAAAAACTGACCTTTTTTTTTAATTAAAATGCCGACTTTGTGGTCTATTATCGTATAGTATTTATGGTTGTATTCTCGTTTTCTTGGTCTCATTTGATAGAATGGAAAACATATTATAGAAATAGAGGTGATTTTGATTGATTTTACTATAAAAAGAACCTAGAAATGGAGCTCAAAGTAGGGGAAATGTTTGATTTTTGCCAATGTTCAAAAGTAAACAAATGATGTCATTGTCCAATAAATGTCCAACTAGCCATTCTAATATGCAGTCATGAATGGGTTGATGTTATTTATACAATTATTACAGTATTGCAGTAGTCTGCATAATAGTAAGTCTTCTATTTTTTGTTTGAATAAAAATTCAAAATAGAAAGCAAGAGTAATATCAGAGGGGCCTGGAGACGTGACTGATCAACAAAGAAAATGTTATTTTAGAGCCAGGAATGTCTGCATTGTTCATTCTGGACCTTATTTTGAAATTGTCATATTTTTTAGTTTTTGTGAAATTGGCCAAATTGCAAATTTCTGACCACATTATTAGGTAGTTGAAATCGGTTAAATGGCAGTTTCTTGTACTCAATCGATAGAAAAAATGGAGTTCTAAAGAAATAGCTATGAGTTTGGGCGACTGAACAATGGAATTAGCCGAAAATAGGGCTCAAAGTGGGCGAAATCGCCGATTTGTAAACAGCGCCGAGGTCGCTAACTTCGTGAGAGCATAATTCCGTCAGTTTTCCATCAAATTTCGTTTTTTTTGGTGTCATTACAATCGGGAAAAGATTCTCCATCATTTCATAAGAAAAAATAACTTTTTTTTTTTTTTTTAAATTTTGCAACACCAGGAGACACCTCAGGATTGAGGGTTGCGACAGTCAAAGGGTTAAATGTATCCGAGTCTGCAATGAAGAGAGGACAGCAGACAAAATAACTGTACCAGAATTAAATGAAAATGAAAATGTTTATTTACTTGCACAGCTTACAATGTGTGGTTTACATTCTTCTTTCAACACACCGGCCGTATCCCACCGAGGCGGGGTGGCCCAAAAGGAAAAACGAAAGTTTCTCCTTTTACATTTAGTAATATATACAGGAGAAGGGGTTACTAGCCCCTTGCCCCTGGCATTTTAGTCGCCTCTTACAACACGCATGGCTTACGGAGGAAGAATTCTGTTCCACTTCCCCATGGAGTGTGGTTTACATATTATAAAATATTAATTACAAGGAAGGCCTCTAGCAGACCTAGACATTTCGGGCAGACAAATCCTAATTTTTATTCTATATTGACACAGGTTATGGAGCAGAATGTTGAAGAGGGAAAGGCCTGAAATTCAGTTGTACTCTGTAATGAACAGGACAATTACTCAGATGATTTTGAACAGTTAATACAACCTGAACAGTACACTGGGGTATTTTTTCCTTCAACATCTTAATAAAATTATACTGACTGAGGTGTCACCTCAGGGTTTAACATATAAAAAGAGCTCGTGTTCCCTCTGGTATTTCTTCACATTCTATTACATTTGCCATATATCAGCTAGTACCATCAAGACTCACGAAGTTGTAATAACACAACTGTCAATAAACCACAGAACAGGTTGGGTTTGAACTCGTGGCGAGTAAGTACTAAAACTCACAGGTCAGTAAGTACTAAAACTCACAGGTCAGTAAGTACTAAAACTCACAGGTCAGTAAGTACTAAAACTCACAGGTCAGTAAGTACTAAAACTCACAGGTCAGTAAGTACTAAAACTCACAGGTCAGTAAGTACTAAAACTCACAGGTCAGTAAGTACTAAAACTCACAGGTCAGTAAGTACTAAAACTCACAGGTCAGTAAGTACTAAAACTCACAGGTCAGTGAGTAAGCAATTCAGCCAGCTGGGTATAATAAGATTTATCAGGTATAATATATGAACCATCAAACTATAATGCTACAGTAGAGAAAATAATTCGTCCTGGTCAAGCAGGATACAGTATAGGTGTGATGAATGGTTTGAAAAACCGACAAGTTGAAGATTGAGACACTTATGCAGCATATGGGAATCTTTATTCAGGAAACGTTTCGCCACACAGTGGCTTCATCAGTCCAATACAAAGAGGAAGGCGTAAGGAGAGGAGAATGAGGTAATCAGTCCCTCAACCTGGAGTCGATGTGTTCAGTCCATTCTACAAGATTGATGGACTGAACACATCGACTCCAGGTTGAGGGACTGATTACCTCATTCTCCTCCTCTCCTTACGCCTTCCTCTTTGTATTGGACTGATGAAGCCACTGTGTGGCGAAACGTTTCCTGAATAAAGATTCCCATATGCTGCATAAGTGTCTCAATCTTCAACAGTATAGGTGCTCCTTGACTTACAATGGGGGTTCTATTCCACTGAATCCATTGGAAGTTGAAAATGTCATCAATCGAATATGAATACAATATGATAAATAAATAAGTAAATAAATAACTAGAGTCACCGAATAAGTAACTAAACAAATAATTACTGTAACTAACTAAATACCAGTAATGAAAAATGGATGTTCTGGAGTTGTGAATGTCGTGGAGCATTATTGAAAACAAGGAGAATCTTAAGGGGTATATTTTGATGACAATATTCTTTCTGTAAAGTAAAAGGACACAAGTGCAACTAATGTGACATTTATTGTGGCAACGTTTCGCTCTCCAGGAGCTTTATCAAGCCATTACAAACAATACATGGCTTGATAAAGCTCCTGGAGAGTGAAACGTTGCCACAATAAATGTCACATTAGTTGCACTTGTGTCCTTTTACTTTACATATTGTCGGTAATTCTACCAACTTTATTACAATATTCTTTCTGCTGGTTTCTAGAATAGTTCAAACAATGCTACCACACTACACAAATAACCCGCACATAGGAGAGAGGAGCTTATGACGACATTTCAGTCCAACTTGGACCACTTACAAAGTCACACTAACGAAGCTACCACACCATCGTAAAGTAGATAATATTGTAAGTTGAACCATCATAAAGTGAGAAGCATCTGTACTTGAACAGTCCATTACAAGCATCAGCTGCTGACAACTGCAGATACACAGTTGTTAGCGCCACATCTGTCAGAACAACGGTCGTCCACCTCAGCTCAGTAGGACCACATCAGTCCTCGAAACAAGATTCCACGTCAACAAGCATTGACAACTAGAATGATTCACAAAAGTATTATAATAGGATTACAAATAAAATGTACGGGCCTTTGCACTGAACTTGACTTAAGAGTGAGGGAGATTGACACCAGTCAGTCTATCTATCATCATTCTATCATGCAGGAGGAGCCACATGTCTATGATGCATCCAACAAAGTAAGCAGACTCTTTGATGTCACTACTGCCCGGCTCCAGCTGGGTTACAAGTATCTTTGGCAGGTTAAATCACCATCACCAGATGTACACCAAATGAAATGTAAACTTTGCCAGATGGACTATTGTTACACCTTGCGTCAATATGTACTGGAATGCGATAAAATTTAGGAATTCAGAGACAGCTCACTTAGAAATGTTCAAGATATGTCCAAGTATTTTATCCACAGTGGTATATTACAAACCATTCTGGAAAGATACCCTGACTTTGCTCACTGTAAATAAAGCATTACCACTGTGCATGTGTATGTGTGTATGTGTGTGTGTGTGTGACCAATTTAATGTCTGAATAAATAACTCATTACGATTGCGACCAGATATAAACATGTAAACAATTCATTACCACCGCTGGACCCATTATGTACCTCTGTAATGTTGAGGTACAATCCCTGGACCCATTATGTACCTCTGTAATCCTTTGGCTTCCACCCACAGGATGGGTCTGGGGTGCCTAATAAAGATGTTAAACTAACTTGAGTTTCAAGACTCACTTGCTATGGGTTCAAACCCCACCATTCCCTGGTTTAACAAGTAGAATGTAAGATAAACTGTACTAATTTGTACTTAGGAGAATATAAAAAAAAATGGTTTGGCAAATTTAGAGACATCTGGAACATAACCATATTTTTTCCATATGTTCTTCACATCACATACTGATACAGTAATTTCTAGGAACATATACATCACTAGTGGGTTTACTGTTTAGTTTACAGTAGTACTGTAATTCTATAACTGAAAATTTAGTAGACATGATTTATTTTAAATTATACAATGTTTATATAATGTGTTAATTTGTGTTATACTATACAATGTTTATATACCGTGTTAGTATTTCTAATCCATTTCTTTTTCATGTCATGAAAATACCTTTCACAGAATTATTTTAAGTTTTCCCTATGTTTAGAAGATTTTAAACTCATCAGGAGCAAACGGCGATGCTGTAAATGGCACGTCCACTGGTGCTGGTGGATATGGCGGAGGTGATGGAGGCATTGGAATAGGAGTACCAGCGCCTCCACCAGGCGGTGTGGGACTTCCCATACCTTTAGGAGCGGCCACAGCAGCAGGTGGAGGGGTAGCCATGGGTATGAACACCAATGCAGAAGCCATGCGCATGATCACCAGTGGGGAAGCCATGCGCATGAACACCAGTGGAGAGGCCATGCAGATCCCTGCATCCCTTCATGGCAATCAGTGCCTGGCCTCGTATAACAACAACGAAGGCAGCAACAGTCACTTAGGGGTCATAACTCGTGATACAACAAAGGACAACGAACAACCCAGAACAGAGCGAACATTTAAACAAGAAACTACTGATTCAAATTACGAACTGTGAGAAACTTTTTTCAAAAAAACTGCCTTAACAGTGAAAGCCTGGAGAAGACACTGCCAGTTATGAGTATTATTATACAATTTCCAGTGAAAATTATAATTTTTAAATCCTCAGTTTTATAATTTATGCATGTAAAATACAGGGCGTTTCAAAAAGATGGACATATGTAAAATGTAGATGCAATGAAATTAGATCCATCTTTTTGACACACCCTGTATTTGATATAGTGGAAAGTTATTATAGTGTGCAAGCTTAGTATTTGTTTGTATATAAAATGTAAAGTATATACAGTGGAACCTTGGTACTCGAACAGCTCCCTACTCAAACAATTCAGTATTCGAATGCTTTGTTTGGTAAAAAAAAATCACTTGGTAGTTGACCACACAAGCATGACCTGCCAGAACCTCGCTGTACACCATTTCGCATTTCTTCGCAGTTTTTGGTGTATTTTTTTTTTTACATTATTTGTATAGATAAGTCACCATGGGGCTTAAGAAGATTAGTGATAATAGCCAACCAAAAAGAAAATTGGTTGGGAAAAATTCGTTCTGCACAAGAACAGATCGGCACTCGGTCTTCTGGAACGAATTAAGTTCGAGTATCAAGGTTCCACTGTACTGCAGCTTAAAGCTAGTTTTTATTTAACTAATGAGCAAATATAAGAAACATACTCATATGGGACCCTGTGGCCTGGCTGGCAAAGCTCTTGCTTAACACACTGAGGGCCCGGGTTCGATTCCCGGTGGGGTGGAAATACAGTGGACCCCCGGTTAACGATATTTTTTCATTCCAGAAGTATGTTCAGGTGCCAGTACTGACCGAATTTGTTCCCATAAGAAATATTATGAAGTAGATTAGTCCATTTCAGATCCCCAAACATACACATACAAATGCACTTACATAAATACACTTACATAATTGGTCGCATTGGGAGGTGATCGTTAAGCGGGGGTCCACTGTATTTCGACACATTTCCTTACACCTGTTGTCCTGTTCACCTAGCAAGTGGGTACCTGGGATTTAATAGACTGGTGTGGGTCACATCCTGGGGGACAAGATTGAGGACCCCAGTGGAAATAAGACAGACAGTCCTCAATGACATACTGACTTTCTTGGGTTATCCTGGATGGCTAACCCTCCAGGGCTAAAAATCTGAATAAAATCTTATATCTTAAGATCAATATGGTAATATATTAATTTATTCATAGGGAAGTGGTAAAGTCATACAGGTGGAAAGTATTGTAAATAATGTATAGGGAAATAGATTATAACTTACTGGACACCATTAATGGGGGAAGTGGTGTGAATGCCGAACCTTCAAAAAGATCAGGGTGGTTGTCTTGATGTAGATGAAAGGCTCTTGGTCCAGGAAAGTGGAGCAACCCTTCCTGTACCTTGACTGGCAGCACACACAGCTCACACACTGAGGTCTGTGGTTAGATCCCTATACAGTTGGAAACATTAGGATGTTTCCTTAAGCACCTGCTGCCTATGTTTACCTATCAGGAAAATAGGTACCTGGGTGTTAGTGAACTGGTGTGGGTTGCATCCTGGAGACAAAATTGACTTAATTTGTATGAAATGCTCAACATAACAAGGGGCTTTCTATATAGTAGAATGTCACTGATGTCAGCTATGGTCTGTATACCTTGTACACATGCTTGTATAAATAAAGATTATTATTATTATTACGTATTATTATTATTATTATTATAAAAACTTCATTACTTCTCATTACCCAGATTATGGGTTTACCAATTCTCCATTAATTTAATAATAATAATAATGAAATGTAGAATATTCAGATTAAGTAAGGGAAATGTGTACAGTAAGAGTGAAACCTGGACTAGTGTGTGTAAATGGCTGTCTACCTACGAGAGAAGACCTACGAGAGAAGACCTACGAGAGAAGACCTACGAGAGAAGACCTACGAGAGAAGACCTGCGAGAGAAGACCTACGAGAGAAGACCTACGAGAGAAGACCTGCGAGAGAAGACCTACGAGAGAAGACCTACGAGAGAAGACCTGCGAGAGAAGACCTACGAGAGAAGACCTACGAGAGAAGACCTGCGAGAGAAGACCTGTGAGAGAAGACCTAGGAGAGAAGACCTACGAGAGAAGACCTACGAGAGAAGACCTGCGAGAGAAGACCTATGAGAGAAGACCTAGGAGAGAAGACATGCGAGAGAAGACCTACGAGAGAAGACCTACGAGAGAAGACCTGCGAGAGAAGACCTGTGAGAGAAGACCTAGGAGAGAAGACCTACGAGAGAAGACCTACGAGAGAAGACCTATGAGAGAAGACCTGCGAGAGAAGACCTGCGAGAGAAGACCTAGGAGAGAAGACCTACGATAGAACACCTACGAGAGAAGACCTACGAGAGAAGACCTACGAGAGAAGACCTACGAGAGAAGACCTACGAGAGAAGACCTACGAGAGAAGACCTATGAGAGAAGACCTGCGAGAGAAGACCTGCAAGAGAAGACCTAGGAGAGAAGACCTACGAGAGAAGACCTACGATAGAAGACCTACGAGAGAAGACCTACGAGAGAAGACCTACGAGAGAAGACCTGCGAGAGAAGACCTATGAGAGAAGACCTAGGAGAGAAGACCTGCGAGAGAAGACCTACGAGAGAAGACCTACGAGAGAAGACCTGCGAGAGAAGACCTTGAGAAGAAGACCTAGGAGAGAAGACCTACGAGAGAAGACCTACGAGAGAAGACCTATGAGAGAAGACCTGCGAGAGAAGACCTGCAAGAGAAGACCTAGGAGAGAAGACCTACGAGAGAAGACCTACGATAGAAGAAATACGAGAGAAGACCTACGAGAGAAGACCTACGATAGAAGACCTACGAGAGAAGACCTACGAGAGAAGACCTACGAGAGAAGACCTACGAGAGAAGACCTACGAGAGAAGACCTACGAGAGAAGACCTACGAGAGAAGACCTACGAGAGAAGACCTACGAGAGAAGACCTACGAGAGAAGACCTACGAGAGAAGAACCTACGAGAGAAGACCTACGAGAGAAGACCTACGAGAGAAGACCTACGAGAGAAGACCTACAATAGAAGACATACGAGAGAAGACCTACGAGAGAAGACCTACGAGAGAAGACCTACGAGAGAAGACCTACGAGAGAAGACCTACGAGAGAAGACCTGCGAGAGAAGACCTACGAGAGAAACCTACGAGAGAAGACCTACGAGAGAAGACCTACGAGAGAAGACCTACGAGAGAAGACCTACGAGAGAAGACCTACGAGAGAAGACCTACGAGAGAAGACCTACGAGAGAAGACCTACGAGAGAAGACCTACAATAGAAGACCTACGAGAGAAGACCTACAATAGAAGACCTACGAGAGAAGACCTACGAGAGAAGACCTACGAGAGAAGACCTACGAGAGAAGACCTACGAGAGAAGACCTACGAGAGAAGACCTACAATAGAAGACCTACGAGAGAAGACCTACGAGAGAAGACCTACGAGAGAAGACCTACAATAGAAGACCTACGAGAGAAGACCTACAATAGAAGACCTACGAGAGAAGACCTACGAGAGAAGACCTACGAGAGAAGACCTACGAGAGAAGACCTACGAGAGAAGACCTACGAGAGAAGACCTACGAGAGAAGACCTACGAGAGAAGACCTACAATAGAAGACCTACGAGAGAAGACCTACGAGAGAAGACCTACGAGAGAAGACCTACGAGAGAAGACCTACGAGAGAAGACCTACGAGAGAAGACCTACGAGAGAAGACCTACGAGAGAAGACCTACGAGAGAAGACCTACGAGAGAAGACCTACGAGAGAAGACCTACGAGAGAAGACCTACGATAGAAGACCTACGAGAGAAGACCTACGAGAGAAGACCTACGAGAGAAGACCTACGAGAGAAGACCTACGAGAGAAGACCTACGAGAGAAGACCTACGAGAGAAGACCTACAATAGAAGACCTACGAGAGAAGACCTACGAGAGAAGACCTACGAGAGAAGACCTACGAGAGAAGACCTACGAGAGAAGACCTACAATAGAAGACCTACGAGAGAAGACCTACGAGAGAAGACCTACGAAAGAAGACCTACGAGAGAAGACCTACGAGAGAAGACCTACGAGAGAAGACCTACGAGAGAAGACCTACAAGAGAAGACCTACGAGAGAAGACCTACGAGAGAAGACCTACGAGAGAAGACCTACGAGAGAAGACCTACGAGAGAAGACCTACGCACATGCTTTTTCATCTGTATTTTTAATTTATCACACTGTCAACATCCCCCCAATGAAAAGCAGGGGTGTCACTAGCACGTTAAGAGACCATACAATAAGTGTCAGGGGCCCGAGACTGTTCAACTGCCTCCCAGCATACATAAGGGGGATTACCAACAGACCCCTGGCAGTCTTCAAGCTGGCACTGGACAAGCACCTAAAGTCTGTACCTGACCAGCCGGGCTGTGGCTCGTACGTTGGTTTGTGTGCAGCCAGCAGTAACAGCCTGGTTGATCAGGTTCTGATCCACCAGGCGGGCTGGTCACAGACCAGGCCGCGGGGGCGTTGACCCCCGGGACTCTTTCCAGGTAAACTCCAGGTAAACTGTCATTATTGTGGATCTGTTTGTTTACATATGGGGTAGTGAGAGAAGTAAACGTTGGAGTGTATTTATGAGTGATTTGCGGCCACTGCAAGATTCCACTCTTCACACCATACAGGCAAACCTGTAATAAATGTCCTTAAAATGAACAAAACCATCTAATATCGTTCCATTAGCAGCCATTAACCCTTTGACTGCCGCAACCCCCAATCCTGAGGTGTCTCCTGGTGTCGCAAAATTTAAAAAAAAAAAAAAATTATTTTTTCTTAGGAAATGATAGAGAATCTTTTCCCGATTGTAATGACACCAAAAAAACGAAATTTGATGGAAAACTGATGGAATTATGCTCTCGCGAAGTTAGCGACCTCGGCGCTGTTTACAAATCGGCGATTTCGCCCACTTTGAGCCCTATTTTCGGCTAATTCCATTGTTCCAGTCGCCCAAACTCATAGCTATTTCTTTAGAACTTCATTTTTCTATTGATTGAGTACAAAAAAAAATGCCCATTTACTGATTTCAACTACCTAATAATGTGGTCAGAAATTTGCAATTTGGCCAATTTCACGAAAACTAAAAAATATGACAATTTCAAAATAAGGTCCAGAATGAACAATGCAGAAAATTCCAGGCTCTAAAAAAACATTTTCTTTGCTCATCAGTCATGTCTCCAGGCCCTCTGATATTACTCTTGCTTTCTATTTTGAATTTTTATTCAAACAAAAAATATTAGACTTACTATTATGCAGACTACTGCAATGCTGTAATAACTGTATAAATAACATCAACCCATTCATGACTGCATATTAGATTGGCTAGTTGGACATTTATAGGAAAATGGCATCATTTGTTTACTTTTGAACATTGGCAAAAATCAAACATTTCCCCTACTTTGAGCTCCATTTCTAGGTTCTTTTTATAGTCAAATCAATCAAAAACACCACTATTTCTGTAATATGTTTTCCATTATATCAAATGAGACCAAGAAAACGAGAATACAACCATAAATACTATACGAAAATAGACCACAAAGTCGGCATTTTAATTAAAAAATACGGTCGGAGTTTATTTTTTCTAATTATGCACTGCATGCTCCAGGATTTTTTTTATATGGTGCACACTGACCACACAGACCCATTCTCTCACATGTGGGCCTACCAGCTTTCTCCTGCTTGATTTGAAGCCGCTAGAATTTATGAGTATATATACGTCAAACACGGCACCTCGTAAAACGTATATATACGGCCGCGACAGTCAAAGGGTTAATCTTGTACAAAACATAAACATGTGTATACTATGACAGAATAATACTTGGTTAAAATTATAAACATTAAGAAAAATGAATTGTCACAGTAGTGGTTGTTCGAATACTACATAGCGTTATGTCACAGTAGTGGTTGTTCGCATACTACATAGCGTTATGTCACAGTAGTGGTTGTTCGCATACTACATAACATTATGTCACAGTAGTGGTTGTTCGCATACTACATAACGCTATGTCACAGTAGTGGTTGTTTGCATACTACATAACGTTAAGTCATAGAAGTGGTCGTTCGCACACTACATAAGCACTTGTCACAGTAGTGGTCATTCACACACTACATAAACATTATGTCACAATTGTGGTCGTTTGCAAAGTACATAAACATTGTGTCACAATTGTGGTCGTTTGCAAAGTACATAAACATTGTGTCACAGAGGTGATTCATCTTTGCCTTAAAACACTACTTTATAGTGCTTTGCTTTGCAGCACTCGGTTTTACAACACTTTGCTTTACAGTAATTTGCTAATGCAGCAGTTTTCAATTATGTACTACAGTCATTCTTCATTTATTCAGATTTCCTTCAATAAATATATTCACCACTCACTATAAGCTAAGGACGAAAATATTTTAGGGTAAATAATCCATGTACTGTACGTACGAACATGCATTTTTAAGGCTTAATTCTATTGCTCACTTAATATATGATAGTGTAAATAAAAAAGTGGAAAAAAATTACGTTTCACTTTACAGCAGTAGCCTGGGGACCTCCTGTATATATAAAAGTTGTGTGTCCTTGTATTATTGTTAAGTGGTCGACTAAGCTCCTGGAGGATGCAACATTGACTCAATAAAATGTCAAATTTGTTACACATGTGTCCTTTTTACCTATAAAGTTATTTGTATGATCATTATTATTAATTTATATAAGAATTCTAAACCAACTATATTTTTTAAATAGCTAAATTATTTAATGTGGTAGTGCTATATGATCACTCTTAGTAGATTAATGTTTTTGTCAAATGGTCTAGAAAAGTTTCAAAATGAATTTCCTAGCCATAATTTGCTTTGTGTTTGTCGCATCCGAGTGGTTGATACTTGGTAAACAAACCGAGAAACTTAACGCACACTCTAAAGTCCTGTAGCAACAATGGCGGGGCATAGAGAAGAAAATAAGTAAGTAAACATTTAGGTATTACCTGACCCCTGAGAGCTAGGAGGGACACTCGCTCTACTATTCATTATGGGTATATCTTCCCCTTGTGGTCAGTGACATCTATGTCCAAGATACAGATAGAACTAATATTAAAAGGTATACCGAACTCATCAAACAGGCTGGTGAAGAGCCAGCCGGTTCGCCTCAGCTGGCTTTCTTGACCTGGAGATACATGATGAACCTAGCGTTAGTTGGTATATTAGCCTGGAATATTTTTTCAGGAACATCTGAGCCTACCAGCACTAACATACATGATTCAGGTAGTGCTCTTAGCAACTATATTGAAAAATACACTGATATAGTTCGCAAAAAATACACTGATATAGTTTGCAAAAAATGGTTCCCAAAACCTAATTTCAGTGTGTCCACAGAAGCTGACGTCAGCACTTCCACAGGACCCGACGTCAGCACTTCCACAGGACCCGACGTCAGCACTTCCACAGGACCCGACGTCAGCACGTCCACAGGACCTGACGTCCACGTCCACAGAACCGACGCACGACTCCACAGAACCCGATGTCAGCGACTCCACAGAACCCGATGCAGCATCTCCCAAAATCTGAAGTCAGGACTCC